GGGGCAGAGAAATAGAGAGGGTGACTGCTCGATTGAAATTATGACATTGTTTTTTACTTCAAATTGTGATTCCTCCAACTCCAAAACGGAGGAAAAACGATCGTTCATCGAAAAGACATCCGCAATCTTCTTTTAGATCTAGATCTAGGCTAGCCGCGAAACTAGATCAAAGATTTATGTCTGCCTAGATCTAGATCTAGACCATAGATATAGAAGAACCTAGGTCTACCCTGAGCCAAGAGGGCGCTGAAACTCTTCGAAATCACAAAAGAGTTCCCCTACCGGGTCTGTATACTTTGCACAGAATTCTACACTGTGTAGAATTCTGTGATACTTTGTGACTTTGTTCCCGGTTACCGGGTCTGTATACACTCCCGCCGTAAAAAGGTGTTTTTTTAACTTTTTTTTTTTTTTCTTTTTTTCCTTTCTCAGAAATCTTACTATTTCTCGACCATGACCCACCTGTTGTGTTGTACTTGTCTGCCACTCGGATGAACATTCGTCAAAATGTGGGTGGTTGGTGGGTGCTCTGGTGTGGTTTGCTCCTTCTTTCCTATCAAACATCCATCATCCTGATCTTTCCTCCTTCTTTTTTGTGTTTGTTACTCTCTTGTAACACCTCTAATCTTCGGCTCTTATATGACCTCATTGTGTTGCAAGTGCCATAAAACTCTAATTAAAACTAAAATTCGTCAAAATTTTCTTTGTTTCTGCAGGCACAGAGTGTGTCATCGCTCAACAGATGGACGAAAGTATTGTGTCGGCTCGACAGTTTATGGAGCAGACAAGACACGACAACGAACAGGTCATGTTCAGCATTATGAGTGGAGATTTCAACTGTGATAACCTTTCACCCTGTAAGTTGGTGGTTAGTAACTGCTCTGGTGGGGTTTGTTCCTTCTTTCTGTCCTCGTGGTTTTATGCACCTCGCATAATTTAGCAAAATTTGATCATTTTCTGCATAATTTCTGATTATTTTCCTTTTTAACTCTTTGTTAATATTAACAGAATTGCATAATTTCACATTTTTGGGCTCAGTTTGTATAATTTCATAATTTTTCTTGCATAAAACGACGGGGACAGTTCTTTCTTATCAAAGATCTATTGCCTTTCTCTCTCCTCCTTTTCTTTGTGTTATATTTTAGTTACGTCTAGTTGTGCCCGAAAGAAACAGTATTTGTCGTGGGGGGGGTACGGTAATAATTAATTGACAGTGTATTTGTTACTGATTTGATTCCTCTTCATTGTGTTACAGGTGATCAAGGCACCGCCAACCATGAGCTCTTCAATGTTTATGAAGATATCGCTCGCATACGGCCGGGTATGGACAAGCCGTGGACCATAGGTATGTCTGTGGGGGGTTGGTGGTTGCGTTGGTATGGTTTGCTTCTTCTTTCCTATCAAAAGCTATCGTCCTTCTCTCTCCTCCTCCTCCTCTCTTGTGTTTGTTACTCTTTTTTGACACCTTTAATCTTCGGCACTTATATGACCTTATTATGTTGCAAGTGCCATATAACTCTTACTAAAACTAAAATAGGTATGTCTCTGTCTCCATCTCTCTTTTTTGTCTCCGTCTCACTGTGTCTCCGTCTCTTTTTCCAACAGGCACCTGTGGTATAACAGTTAGGCTCTCTGCTTTACATGTGAAAGATATGAGTTCGATTCCCTTGTACTGAAATTATTTTTTTTTTCAATATGTGAGGCAGTATGGTGAAATCAGGCACTCATCAAAATAATGCAATTGAAGAAACTGGCATCTTTTATCGAATTTTTATTGTTGATCTAGTGCCGTAAAACTTTTACTAAAACAAAAAAAAACCTTTTCTAAAATAAAACAAAACCATGATAACTCCAGTCTTTCATCCATATTATTCCATGTATTGTTTCTCCTGTCCTCGCCCGACAGGCACAGAAATGAGGCAACGGTACATGCTGGAGCCGGCTGTGTCCACCCCCGAGGGTCTCAAGGCCGCGCTGGATGACCCCGTGCTGCGGCAGAGATACGTGGTGGACGGTGACATAGAGCTGCAGTCCAAGGAAGTCCTGGCGGCCGGCTTGCCCAAGGTCGACGCACAGGGAAACCTCATCTGTCGCCAGGAAGGGGGTCGCAGGAGGATCGATTACATCACCCTCCACAAGGACTATCCTGTGGTGAGAAGAACTGTATGGGAAACTATCAGAGCTGCGCACTTTCGAGAAAAAACTATCAAGGCAGCGCAATATCAGAGCCGTGCATTTTTGGACGATATCGATACAATTAGATTGCCGATTACCAAAACAGGACCCTTCAACGATTTAAGTACCCTCGGCGTTTTACTGGGCTTGGGACCAGATATCAACTAGATTTTGTTTTGAATGAATAGGTTTTTCATGTATAAAAACATAGTCCTATCTACTTACTGGACAGGGGAGAACTTTAAAGTGTTGGGGCAGCATTTTCTTGCTCATTCAGGATAAAAAAATTGAAGTTGTGAGACTTGTCCATCTGCATACGTTTGCTTGTTACACATTCTCTTTTCTTTCTTGCAGTAGTTATTTTGTGTTTGGTCTGTGTTTTTATTTTCAGCTTAAAAAGGTCTGGCAGTCGCTTAACGTCTGCAGAAAGATGAATATATTTGGACCGTGGCTGTACAGAGTAATTTTGTCAAGGGGACTGTAACTGTTGGATGGAATCGGCAATCTAATTGTATTGATATCGTAAAAATGTGCGCGGCTCTGATAGTGCGCGGCTCTGATAGTGCGCGGCTTTGAAAGTTTCTTCTCGAAAGTGCGGCTCTGATGTGCTCCCAACTGCATCATGTGGGAAAACCAAACCTGCCAAGTCATCATCATCAATGCCTTTCACCCCTGGCAGGGTATAGGCGGGGCACATACAAGCTCCTTCCATTTATCTCTGTCCTGAGCCATCCTTCCAAGCTCGTTCCAAGTGAGCTTCATCTCTCTCATGTCCCTTTCCACACATCTCCCCCATGTTTCCCGTGGCCTACCCCTGCCTTGTGCTCCCTGTGGGTTCCACTGCGGCGACTGTCTTGTGATGTTTCCGCTGGGCTTTCTTTAGGTGTGTCCCATCCATCGCCACTTTCTTGGTCCTATTTTTTCTTCTATATCTTTTTGTCCTGTTCTTTCCCACAGCTATTGTCATTTCTTATTCTATCCTGCCACTTAAATCTTAGGATACTCCTTATACATCTGTTGATGAAAGTGTGGACTTTATTCAGGGCTGTCTTTAGACCTGCCAAGTACTCTGATAAAATTAAAGCAATCTCTTCGGTTTTTTTGCGTGTCTAAGAACATGTTAATATCCCCCCTTTGGGAATGGCCTAAAGACACTTCTGTCAGTAGCACTGCACTGGTTGGGAGGGGGGGGGGGGGTCTCTGTTAACTCAGGTTTGGTGTTTGTTGTATGTCCGTTGACCTGTAGAAGAAAAGTCAGTTTGTTGGCAAATGTTAAAATTTACCATCCAATCCATCTGTCTATATGTACTAATTGTTGGATTTTAAAATATTTTTTCTTTTTCAGAATGTGGAAGGGTACCACTTCGTCACCCAGTTGGCCTCTCTGACTGACCATATCCCGGTGGCCATCGAGTTCACCTGTCCATGAGTTGCCTCAGTCCACACTTGCCTGCCCAAGCTCTCAAGTATCAGCTTCTCATCGTTAAAATGTTGCAAAATCATTCCAGACTAAGTTATGCTTGCAGTTGTTTCCTTTTTTTTCCGAATAGAAGTGCTTTTCTCTTCTGAATAGAAGAACTTAACATACGAGTGTAGAAAAGTCTTTTATTCCTTTCTAGATGTTGTTGTCTTTTCAGGACGCTGTTTTGAGCCATTTGTTGTTTGGATGATAACTCATTCCCTGTTGCTTGAGTGGTTATGTTGCTTGTAATGCCGTTGACATGAAAATCTCATAAATGTCATGACATTATTTGTCTGCTACAGAAGTTTTCGTACATGTAGACATTTATCGGATTAATATTTTAATTTCCCCTCATCATTTTCTGTATTATCACACATTGGCACCAGTTTTTTTAAGATTTATAATTATGTGCAATATAATCAGACAATCGTTCTATGCATCAGTATGTGTACTTATGCTATCTTTTGATTTACAAATGCTCAAACTTTGTCAGTCGTACTCTTTTCTTTTAAAGGCTTCCATCATACCTAATGATTTACTCCAAAGCAGTTGTCAGGAATTTCTCTTTTGGGGTAAAAGAAGTTAAGCCTCATGACAGGTTGAAGGTTTACTGTTGTGTGCCAGCTAAAACAACTGGCGGAAGTTCAAACTAAAGTGTGAGTGAATAAATAATTGTTGTTGTTCCTGCAGTATGTTACTTTTTGTCGGCATGCTGTTCAAATTTACCGTACCCGGGAAGCAAGACTTTGCAGGAGAGAGAGAAAAACATCTTTATACTTTTCACAACTGTTCCTGCACCAGAATTTATTCTTGTTCCTATATTATGTGTCTTTTTTGCTTTCTCCAACATTTAGAATTTGAATTTTATCAAAATATTTCTTGAACACATGCAACTGGAATTACAGGCGATGAAGAGACTGCAATCTTTAAAAAAAAGTAACAATTTTGAGTGTAGTACATTGAAACAGCTGGCCGGTGTATTACAATGGTCTCCTGTTTGGGGATTATGTGCTTAGGCTTTTAATCTGGCCATGTCTTGTTAAATACAAAGCTGAAATTCAACAAATAAACGGAAAACATAATATGTGAGGCGTCGTGGTGAGATTAGGCGCTCGTCAAAATAATGAAATTGAAGGGACCGGCATTTTTCCTCCATTTTGGCAATTTTTATCAATTTTGTTTTTTTGGGGCTCAAAACCTTTTATGTCCATATAATACACATTTTCATGTGAATTTTACTGAAAAACTTTGAGTAAAGGCACAAAATATGTATTTTTTCAGTTTTCAAGGACTCTTAAGCTATTGAAATTACTAAACTTTGGCGGCCATTTTCTCGCTAATTGTACCACTGAAACCAGGGAAC